TCAGTGTTTACTTTGAAAAGGCGTGTTTTTTCTGTGTTTATTTTGAAAAGGCGTGTTTTTCTCATTGTTTATTTGAAAAGGCGTGTTTTTTCTCAGTGTTTATTTTGAAAAAGCGTGTTTTTTCTCAGTGTTTATTTTGAAAAGGCGTGTTTTTCCTCAGTGTTTATTTTGAAAAGGCGTGTTTTTCTCATTGTTTATTTTGAAAAGGCGTGTTTTTTCTCAGTGTTTATTTTGAAAAGGCGTGTTTTTTCTCAGTGTTTATTTTGAAAAAGCGTGTTTTTTCTCAGTGTTTATTTTGAAAAGGCGTCTTTTTCTCAGTGTTTATTTGAAAATAGCACATTAATATATTTTTTAAAGCTGATAAATATTTTAACTAATTCTTCATTCAGAAGTCCTATTTGAAATCTGTCCAATTTAAGTGTTTAAGTCAGGTTTAATGATTATTATTATTTTTTATTATTATCAATATTATTATTTACACTATTTTTGTAAAACATTATTTTAATTTTATTGAATCTTTTTTAAAATAACACATCTCTGTTCCCATATTATATATTTTTTAGATTATTACAGGTTTAAGACACGTTCAGACATATTTTTTCTTTTTTATTACAGTGAGCATCCATAGAAAATACAATTCAAAACTGGAAAAACTGACTTCTTTTTCTTCTGTTAGAAGCTTCATTGGAAATCTATCAGCTTAATGCTAAGTGGGTCTGATGACTTTCAGCTATTAATAAAAATACATTGATGGGAAAATAGAACCCATTCAGAGCTGCCATTAAATAAGAGTGTAGTTCTGAGTGATTTGGCCTCTACTGTTTTATTATTATGTAAACATCTGTGTTGGGTGTAGAATTTAGCCAGTGGCACTAACTCTCCAGTGGAGACGTCCCAGTGGAAATCTGATGAAACACTGAGCTTATTTTGTTTTTTTAATGAGGTTTACACGGACGTCTGTCACCTGCTCTCTCACTGAGGATCACTCTGTACTGAAACCCAGTGATTTTACAGGAGGTTGTCAGACACAGGCAGAACTGTGGTAATGTAGCGTGACCTCGGTCTGCAGAACAAACTGGTCTGTTCATCGACATATTGATCAGGTATCGGCTCGCGTGCTGCTGCCAGTTACACTGTTTCAGTTTTATATATGAGAACATTAGCTGAAGTCAGGGATGGTGCAGCGCTCACTCTGAACACACACCGAGCTGATAAACGACTGGAGCAGAAAGTCTTTAATAACAGAAATGTGACTCAGCAGCTCCAGGAGCCAATCAGAGTGAGCCGAGGACGACACCACACACCAGTCTGACCAGTAACAGCTGCTCTCCAGGTTAACCAATTCAGCTATCTTCACATTAAAACCAGCTCATCACTGTAGCCCAGTAAAACCAGTTCAAACTGCCATGTGGTTCAAATTATGTGTTTCAGTGTGCCCTCTGGTGGTTACTCCGTGTTACTGCACCTGTCTTTTTATGTCACCTGTATTGCATGTCCCTCTCCTCCATGGTGATGTCACACTCCTTCAGGTAGATCTCAAGGCGTCGCCTCTCCATCAGCCTCCGGGCGGCCTCCAGGATCTGAGCTGCCAACACCGACTCATCTTTCTCCTTCACATCCTTCTTCACTTCCGTTTTCTCTGGTTTCCCAGAAATCCCCCTGTTTACTTTGGGCTTCTTGCTGAACCCATAGAGCTCCTCCACTGACAACTTCCCAGCTTTTCCTGCTACGGCTGCTGAGGGCCCAGCGGCTCCTGCGGCTGACGCCCGACCCGCAAACATGGCTGACACTGAAATCATAAAACAGGCCTTAAGTTTAACCCAGGAACCCATTAGATGTGTGGTATTGTTGCGTTTATTGTTCCAGGCTTTAGATATATAATTTACAAGCTTGCAAAATGCTGCTTGTGTGTAGCTACAGTGACTGATCCCACAGTCTTACCAGCCTTCCTGCAAATGCGTACAGAAACTTCCAGAACAGAAAGCTAAACGTTCGAGTCTCTGATTTCTGTCATACAGAAGCTTTTTCAGCAAACTTAAAATGATCATGCATGTACCTTCTTGACACATAATGATGCAGATGGGTCACACATTTGTAACAAAGGATAAGTACAGCAGCTTTCTAGTTTGAAAAGTAATAAAATCACACCTGTATGGATGATGTCCTGCTTCACTGTAACACAGTTTACACATCTGAGCTCAAATGTAGCAGTTTAGACTTTCACGGTTTTCCTGGCTGTTGTTTCAATACCAGCTGAATGTTTTTGTCTTCTGCTCTAGGCTGTGGCTACTCCATAAATGACAGGTCACTGTCATGAGGTTACCAGAAGCCAACAGATGGTGCTGCTATGGTTCTTGTATTCAGTTTAGGGTCTGGAGTCCCACAGGGCTCCATTCTTGGTCCTCTACAGTTTATTTTCTACATGTTTCTCCTTCATCAGCAAACACACAATCAGTTATCAGAGCTGTGTAGATGATGCCAGCAGCAGCTGCCTCAGGATTCCAGCATCACTTCAGATGCTGGAATTATATTAATCTGTAACAGACTCCACATTAGCTGTAGTGCATATCAAGGTTATTATCGTTAACGAAAACTAACAAAATAACGAAAACTAGAAGTGAAAAAACATTTTCGTTAACGGAAATAAAAATAAAAACAAAAAAAAGGAAAACTAACTAAAACTGGAATGAGTGTTCACAAAACTAACTAAAATTAACTGAATTTATAGCAAAAATGTGTTTAGTTTTCATTGATGTGTGCGTGTCATACAAGAGTCAAGGGTGAAAATGAAGTTTAGTTTCCAGATTTTTTTCTTGCTGTGTCTCATTATGCCAGCAGGTGGCAGCACGTTAGTCGAGTCGTCTGTGTCGCTGCTCCGTCCACGCGCAGAATCATGTCAGGAAAAGTCGGGAGCCAGAGTCCAATTTGGGATTACTTTGAATATGACTGTGTTTTGGATAAAGCAAGTGTCTTGTAGTGGAAAGAGACAAATTATGAGGGACATTTCTAAAGGGAAAAAATCCCACAAACCTTAAAGTGCACTTGAAAAGCTCACACAAGAAGGCTAACCTAGCTTAGCTTGAGAAGGTAAGGGAGCACACTCAACCCTCATCCCCAGAAAACAGAAGCTAACCCCAGGCAAGGCAGCGTGATGCATCCCGAGACAACAGGACGGGGATATCTACACAACTGTGTGAGTCAATTACCTTCAAAAAGTTTATCAATTCACTTGAACCAAAATTACGAACACCCGGTGCTGCGAGAGTTAATAGTCTCATTGGGGCCAAGATATACATTTTATAGTTGCCTGGTATCAATGGTTGTTCATCTGCCTTTATTTATTTATTTAAAGAACC